TGGAAGCGCACTTGGCGTCGGAGCAGAACCATCGTCTGGAAAGTACGTCTTGGGGAGTGGTCGTTCTGCGCCACGGCGCGTCAGGTGGACTTGACGGCTAATGAGGGACGGATCACCTGGTCCTTGAGACTCCATGGCCAGAGAATCGGGCTGACGTTGTCAATGCCGATAAGTACTTCGCGGTTAGTGTAGGGGTGTTTTTCGCTGGCCAAGCGTATCTTGCCGTTGATGTTAAAGGGAACCCGCCCCTGCAACTGGGAATTATGTTGAACCTTGTACCCCTGGGAGTGACTCCCCATGGTAGGTAAGAGCCGTCGTGTGCTTGGTGCTCATCTGTAGTGTCGTAGAGCGGCCGTTCCCATGCGCACGCCGTGCCTGGTCTGTTTCTGCCTTCCAGAGAGAGATGGAGAGATAGACATACACACAAACAACAACAACAACAACAACAACAACAACAACAACAACAACAACAACAACAACAACAACAACAACAACAACAACAACAACAACAACAACAACAACAACAACAACAACAACAACAACAACAACAACAACGACAACAACAACAATAACAACAACATCAACAACAACAACAACAAACACAACAACAACAACAACAACAGCAACAACAACAGCAGCAACAACAACAACAACAACAGCAGCAGCAACAACAACAGCAACAACAACACCAACAGCACCACCAATAACAACAACAATAACAACAACACGAAAAATAAAGATAAATAAAGAGAGAGATATATGGAGGGAAGGTGGGATAGAGAGAGAGGAAGGGAGAGGGAGGGAAAGAGAGAGAGAGAGCGATACAGAGGAAAGAAACAGATAACGAGAACGCAGAAGAGAAAGAGACATAACAGAGAGAGTGAACGAGAGAACGACACCTATAGGTGTGTATGCTTGCCTATATAGCGAAAGTGATATGAAGCAAGATAAGGACAAATCCAGAGGAACAGCAACTAGTATAGTATAGAGTACGTCATACGGAGTAAGGAAGAAACATATTATAGAGCATGCAGAAGAAAGCGCAGACTCCATATTGCAGATGGCAGAGAGCCGAGAGTAGGAGTTAGAGATCAAGTGTATAGGGGGGAGTCGGGAGTATACAACATGGCAGACACAAGCGGGTAGAATGCATCGTGTAGAGAACATTAGTGAAATCCACAATCGTCATCCTTTGCCCTCGCCTAGCAGGGATCATCGCAACGCGCGCTGTCTTTACACTTATCATGCTGACATCTGGTCGAGGTTTCTTATGGTGTAGCGCTGTTGTTCGCAAAGTGGGCCTTGGGCATGGCGATCCGATGTGAAGCATCGGTACCTCGCCGCGGGCCATCTTGTACAGGTCTCAGGGATCGGAAGCGGCACCATAACGCCGAAACTGCAGCACGTCGGGCGAAGCTGCGAACTCACAGACCCCACGCGAAGCCACGCACGAGCCCGAGGTGGGCACACGGCCTTGCTGACCTGGGCCCGGCCAGCATCAGGTCGGGCGTGTCCCCCATACAGGGGGATTTGGACGAAAAGTTAAAAAGAATGAGAACATGTGGAAAACGAAACAAAACATATACCCAACAAAAAAGTCGTCCCCAGATTACGTGTTGATTAATACGACTTTTGACGACTGCTCCTCCTGTAGAGGGTCGCGCCCGACGCAAGGCTGGCAGCCCCCCCCCCTGCGCGAGGCCCGCAGCGGGGAGCGCCCGAGGCTCCGGTGAGGCCCGGCGGATTCCGGCGAGGCCGGCTCGTGGGCGGAGGCTCCCCCCCCGCCGTGCGTCCGCCTCGCTGGCCCCTCGGGCATCAGCGGGCGAAGAACGGTATAAGATAAACTGTTTCGCTGTCGGGGGCTCCTGTCCCAGGGCGGCTGGAAAGTTTCTGCCCTTCCGGTGGCACCGTAGGGGTACAAACTGTCCAGCCGCCCTGGGACAGGCGCCCCCGACAGCGAAAAAGTTTATTTTATACCGTTCTTCGACCGATAAGGGCAAGCCTCGGGAAGAGCGCGTCGACTACGAGAGATTCCATTTTCGCCCAAAGTCCGCCTGTGGGAGAGCATGCCCGACCTGATGGTAGCACGGTGGCTGTACCTATAGTCTACCTCTCTCCTCCCTCCTTCCAGCGGGCCGCCCCCCCCCCCCCCCGGCACCATTCCGACCAGTTTTTGCCGAGCCGCGTCGACTACGAGACGGCGCCTCGAGGGCCCTGAGTACGCAGGAGGGCGCTCTCCCCCTATTCTCCTCCTCTCGGACGGAGAGGAGGACAGGAGGGAGGGGTCGGCATCCTCTCTTTCCTCCTCGTCTCCCCTGCTCGTGGAAAGGAAGGAGGTACCCCTGCCTCTTCTCCTCACGGGGGCGAAAACTTCAGACACAGAAGAAGCTTTGAGGTCCGCGCATCTATCCCGGATACGTGCGGGACCCCCCTGGCGGCGCCTCCAGCGCAGCCTCTGGCGCGCTCCGCGCGCCAGGGAGGGGGGTCCGGCGCGGATCCAAGAAGTCCGCGCGGAGCGCCAAAAGTCTATGTTTATCTGTTTTCTCTTCCTCTAGACACGGCGGGCGGTTTTTGGCTGTTGTCGCCTCCCGGGGGCCCCTGCTGAGCCCTGGGGCCGTTACAGAGCGATTCGAGAGGAAGAGCAGGGTCCCGTGTAAGGGGTCGGGGCTCCCTGGCGCGCGGAGCGCGCCAGGGGCGGCGCCGGAGGCCCCGCCAGGGGGGGGTCCAGCGCGGATCCGAGAAACCCGCGCGGACCTCAAAGTTTTCTGTTTATGCCATTTTCGCCCCCCTAAGAAGAGGAGGGAGGGGTACCCTCTTGCTTTCCGCGCGAAGGGAGACGAGGACGGAGGAGGATGCCGACTCCTCCCTCCTGTCCCCCTCTCCGTCCGAGAGGAGGGGAATGGAGGAGCGCCCTCCTGCGTACTCAGGGCGCTCGAGGCGCCCTCTCGCAGTCGACGCGGCTCGGCAAACTGGTCGGGATGGTGCCGGGCGGGCGGTCCGCTGGAAGGAGGGAGGAGAGAGGTAGACTAGGTACAGCCACCGTGCTACCATTAGGTCGGGCATGCTCTCCTACAGGCAGATGTTGGGCGAAAATGCAAAGATAGCCAAAACGTATACAACAATAGGCGAACACAGTCGAACAATCGTCCCCCCCAGACAATTTTTCAACCAATTTTGAATATTCGTACTTGAGAGGGGCATGCCCGACTTAACGTAACGCTACCCAGAGGAATGCTGAAAAAGGAACGGGAGGAACACCTCTAGCGTCGTCGAGCCTCGGCCACGAAGAGGTTCCCCGACCTACGGCCCAGAAACATGACCAAGAACAAAGCAGAAAAAAAAACCCAGGCCAGCTTCCCAGAAGCTGACTGCCTACCAGACCACCCCCACCCCAACCCGAGGACCCACATTTGGGGCTGGGGGGGTACGGGTTCCATATGTGCTTTCGCAATGCTCACCCACCCACCCACCCACTGGAAACGGAGGGCAAAGTGAGGTGGTTTGGTGGGTGGTGAGAAGCTCGAGACAAACCTGGTCAACTTCCCGGGGTTAACGCGGGAGGGGCGACCGTGCTCAAGAAACAGGGCCAGCTGTCTTAGGGGAACAAGAAGTGACATAAGCATAAAAACTCGGAGGTTCGCGCGGATTTCTCGGATCGGCGCTGGACCCCCCTCCCTGGCGCGCGGAGCGCGCCGGGGGCGGCGCCGGAGGCGCCGCCAGGGGGGTCCCAGCGCGGATCCGAGAACTCCGCGCGGAGCTCCGAGTTTTTTTTATGTTTATGTTGATGGGCGTGTTTTCCACCACCACCACCATAAGTTGGAGGGGGGAGGAGGAGGAGGACGCGGAGAAGGAGGACGAAGAAGAGGAGGAGAAGAACCCCTTCCCCTCCAACTTATGGTGGTGGTGGTGGAAAACAGGCCAATCATATGTCACTTCTTGTCCCCCTAACGTTTCTCGGAAGAGGTCTCGCAGTCAGATGCTCGGCCGTGGTTCCGGGGAGCGGACCAAGACACCCGAGCCCTTCCTCGGCCCAAAGTGGCCCCTACAGGGCAGTGCTTAACAATATGATTAAAACATATGTATGGGATGTTTAGTAATGGTTAATCTATGAATTATGCATGAACTCATCGTTGTTTTTAATACTAAATCCCTGCATGTTCAATACATGATCCTCACGCGGAGCATGTATTAAAACCGGCGCTGTACAGTAGGGGCCCGACCACAAGAAATCTTCCACAGGAGACCCAACCCTGAGACCCGAGGACGTCCATGGATCTCTGGCGTGGGAGCGTCACGCTCTCCATCGCAAACAACCCTCGAAGCCGAAGAAACCCGGTGCACCTCTCGGAGGCAAGCAGAGTGCTTCTTGGCATGGGCCTCCACTGTGTGTCAGCGTCTTCATTTGCGTTCACCTCACCTGCGGGGAGGCGCAGCTGCAGGGGCCTCGGGAGTCCGCGCGGACTTCGTGGATCCGCGCTGGGGCCCCCTCCCTGGCGCGCGGAGCAAGCCATGGGGTGGTGCCGGAGGCGCCGCCAGGGGGTCCCAGACCCGAGACAAGAAACCAGCGCGGACCGTCACCAAAATTCATGCGCATGCAGCTTGTATCCCTTCGTCCGCCGACCCTTGCCCAGCTCGCCCGGAGCCAAGGACAGGTGCACTGGTCCTGGCTTGGCCAGACGGAGGCATGTGTGCATGGGTCCTGGGCCCCACGGTGGGTCTGACCAGGGTCGGCGGCATGGATAACTGACATCTCCCGAGGGGAGGAGGGAGTCATCTCGTCGTCGTCGTCGTCATCTCGTCGTCGTCGTCATCACCATCATCACCATCATGATCATCGGGATCATCATCATCACCACCACCATCATCATAATCACCACCATCACCATCAATCCTGCTTGACGCGCGCGGGCATGAGGCTGGAGGTGCGAGGTGGAAAGCGAGAAGAGGAGGCGCCCCTCACTGCACCAGGGCGAGAACATCGGTGCCCTCAGCACTAAGCATCAGCGCGCTGCCTTACACCAGGCATCCGTGCCCTCCTCGACGCGACCTCCCGCCGTGGAACAGGTGACGTTGAGGGTCCAAGGCTCGGGCGGGTGGCAGTCCTCGCAGGAGGAGGGACACGGAGCATGAGGAAGAGGGAGGAAGACTAGATGGAGTAGGAGGGAGGGGGAGGGAGGATGGAGAGGGAGCAGGAGGAAGGGGGAGGGAGCAGGAGGGACGGGGAGGGGAGAGGGAGGGGGAGGAAGGGGAATGGAGGAGGAGACCAGTTCACCCAAGAAGAGACGAGGCGGGCGGCCACGAGCATGAGACGAGAAGAGGGCAACGTCAGTCCGAGTCCTCTCCTCAGATGACGGCACTGGGCACGACAGAGGCAAGCTGGCGGATGTGAAAACTTCGCAAACTCACGGCCCGCACCCTTCCGTGGAAGGGGGGTGGAGGAGGAGGAGGAGGAGGAGGAGGAGGAGGAGGAGGAGGAGGAGGAGGATAGAGGCCTCCTAGATGGGGTCGGAGTCGGAGTAGATGGGGTCGGAAGATCGCGCCGCATCGGCGATGCATCGGCGATGCATCGGACATGCACTGGCGACGTCGGCGGTACATCCGCGACGTCGGCGCGAAGAAAATTGGGCCCCACATCGAGCCGCATCGCCGATGCATCGGCAATGCGGCGCGATCCTCCGACCCCATCTGCTCCGACACCATCTAGGCCTGGAGAGGAGGAGGAGGAGGAGGAGGAGGAGGAGAAGGAGGAGGAGTGGGAGGAGGAGTACGCATTGCCATGAGAAAGGGAGGGTCCTGCGTGAAACGGGTGCTGGACCCACGGGCTTCCCCCTGGAAAGGCATCTCCTCCCGCGCCGCTTTGCTGACGGCCCGTGGGGGCGCTAAACCCCTAGATAAGACCGCTGGGGTTCATTGAGTATCGGAAGCGGCAAACTGGCACATGCAGAGGGTGGGGAGGAGGAGCAGGAGAAGGGGAGGGACAGGAGGAAGAAAAATGAGACCAAATCGAGCAGGTCGAAACCCCATTTGCAGGACCCGGGCGTCGTGGTTTGCCCCGGGGCTGGACCTAAACGTTGTTTCTAGTGTTGCTTGTTGTCGTCATGTTTTTCATTTCGCTCTACCTGTTTTCCTGTACCTCCTTCCCAAAACGCAGAACCAGAACAAAACACAGCCGAAGTCCAGCAGAACAGCGTCTAGGTTCAGCCCTGGTTTGTCCAACCCGTGGGCCCCAGGAAGCCTCGACCCCTTGCGTGGGACCCTGCGCTTCCCCACGAGTCGCTGTACAACAGCCCCAGGGTTCAACAGGGGCCCCCGTAGGAGAGGCGACAACGGCCCAAAACCTCCCGCCGTGCCGATGCGTATACACCGGCAGCGAGCGAAGGGGGGAAATGAGAAGGAGAAGGCCTTCTCAGAAGGCTCGGAGGTCCCCTGTCCTTATGAAAAGTGTTCCAAGCCTTCCCCGAAGACAGAAAACACTTTTCAGAAGACGCGAGGGCTTCCGAGAAGCCTCGCCGCCTTCTGAGAAGGCCTGCCCCTTCCCCTTCTCATTTCCTTCCCTCGCTCGCCGCCGAATAGAGGAACGAGGAACTGAATAGACACAGACTTTCGGAGCTCCGCACGGATGTCCTGGATCGGCGCTGGACTCCCCTCACCGGCGCGCGGAGCGCGCGAGGGGCGGCGCCAGAGGCGCCGCCAGGGGGGCCCCAGCGCCGAACCAAGAAACCCGCGCGGAATCCCATATGAGTTTGTGCTTATCTTGTTGTTTCTTCGCTCTCTCCATGTGGCGAGAGGACAGCGCGAGAAGGAGGTGGCGGTCCTTGCAGTGCGCCACGACACACCACCGGTCCTCTCTCCCAGACTCGCTGCCGGACTGGCACCTGCCGTCCGTGAAGGGCAGGTAGAGCCCAACATCTGTCCTTTTGGTGGTGTCCTCGCGGGAAGACATGATCCGGTAGGGGGGAGCAATTTGTGGACACTCCCACGCTCCCCCAGACCCAAAGTTGGCACGGGCGGGGAAGACTGCGGTCGAAGTGCAGCTCATCAGACCCGCGGCCAACTTGGAACTTCGGGGGGAGGGGAAGGCGTTGACCGGTAAGTGTGGCATGTGTGTTGACTCTTTTTTCCCCGAGGCCTGTCCCTACCCAACCTTGCATTGCATCTTCGGGGGACCTCGTCTGTCCCGTCGCGACCCTATCCGCGTCGAATCCGTGTCGAATCCATGTCGGCCTCGTCGGATCCGTGTCGAATCCGTGTCGAATCCGCGTCGAGTGCCCGCCAGAGCCGCATCGAGGCCGCATCGAGCCCGCGCCAGGCACAACAAAAAGACACCAATTTTGGGGGACAGGCGGGGCCCCCCGAAGATGCAACGTAACCAACCATGCTCGCGTCGTGAGAAAACCCGACGGGAGGCCTCGAGTCGCCTTCGCGTCTTCGGCCTCCGGGGGGGCCGTCGCTGGGCCCCGGGACCGTCGGAGAACTGCCCGGGACGAGAAGCCCGTCCCAGGGGATGGGTCGGGACCTCCAGGGGCCCGCGCATTGAAAAGAGCAAGACGTGGCAAATCTGGGACATGATCGCCGATTCCAGGTCGATGCATCCCCCCCTATGCCAGTCCCCCCCTATCGTTGCCCCTCACCCCAGCGTCCCTACTTCTTCCCCACATCTCGGGCTATTCATCCTGAGACGTTGCTTGAGGGCACTTGGGCCAGGAAGGGTGCCGGGAAAGGGGCCGAAACCGTGGCAAAGGTGGCCGTCGCCACCGTATTGCAGCGCCCAGAAACAATACGATGGCGACGGCCACCTTTGCTACGGTTTCGGCCCCTTTCCCGGTACCTTTCCTGGCCCAAGTGCCCTCAAGCAACGACTCAGGATGAATAGCCCGCGATGCGGGGAAGAAGTAGGGACGCTGGGGAGAGGGGCAACGATAGGGGGGGGACTGGCTTAGGTGGGGATGCATCGACCTGGAAACGGCGATACATCGCCGATAGATAGATCGGCGATGGGCCTCCGATGGTGAATCCGCACCTTCCTGGGCAGGCTGGGGCCATCGGGCCCCTGTCGGCGATCAGTGGGCGATTGGGGGTCGATGCATCCCCCCGTCAGGAGAGCCCAGAATCGAATCGATAAGTCGGATCGGCGATCGACATGCATCGGATCGGCGGAAATCGACAGCCGAGTCGGCAAAAATCGGATCGGCGGAAATCGGCAGGCTTGCATGCGTCCAGTGGGAAGCTGGAACCCAAATCGAAACCTCGAGTCGAATCGAATCGGATTCGGCATCCATCGAAATCGAATCGAACCGAATCGGGGGAATCGGAAGGAGCCCTGCCCCGTGTGCCTACCCCTCCGCAGCGCTGCCCCTGATGGGGGGGGAGCCTGCCGCGGGACCCCAACAAAAACAGGTCGGGGGGGGGGGGATCGGCGCAGAGCGAGGCTTCCCCGGAGGCGAGGCCTCCGGGACCCAGGGATCGAGGCGGATCCAGGAGATCGAGGCTTCCCAGGATCGAGGCTTCCCAGGATCGAGGCTTCCCAGGATCGGGGGTCCAGGGATCCAGGATCCAGGATCGAGGCTTCTCGGGCCTCGCGGGGCCTCCAGAGAGGAGGGGGGAGGGGACGTCTTCCCAGTGGTGTCCTCATGGAGAACAGGAGCTCCACTGGCGCGCAGCGTCCAGAGCACGATCATCTCTGTGTTAGCGGACGTCTGGGACAAAGAGCGCATCCGCGAATCCAGAACGGGATCGTTCATGACCTTCTGCATGAAGTCATAGGTGCTGCCCAGGATGCCCTCTAGATGCTTCCGCGGCAGCGCCATGACCTTGTCGTTGACACCTCCCCAGGATGCACACCTCTTGACGACGACCTTGTCGATGGAGACGAGCAGTTCTGGCACGACCGGGCGCAGGGCGAGGGTGTTGTCGCGCACCTTCAGCACGGCGGCGTATCGGGCCCCCGTGGAATTCTCGCGGCTCTGGATCATCTCCGCACAGTCCTTTTGGTGTCTCATCTGCCCCAGGACGTTGCTGATGTGCTCGGACTGGGAGTTCTGCCCGCGCCTTGTCTTGTAGAACTTGCCCGCGTACAACTTCGGCCACCTCGTCAGATTCACCACCTCGTTCTTGTGAGGACCGAATCTGCCATCTCTGAAATACGACAGGGCCCAGGAGCCGATTGGCGAGACCATGCCTCCCCTCTCGTCCTCCGACCAACCGCCATTGTCGGGGGGCGCGCAAACATGAACTAGCGATCCATGGATGTGGCGCGCTGTCGCCAAATCCGTGGATCGGGGGAGGTGCCCTCCTCAAAATGCGGCCAGCGCCGCCTCGCTCGGCGGCGGAAATCCGCGATTCCCCATGGAAACGGGACCCGTCGCTAAACCACGCCCCATTGATCCATGTCTGCGATCGCCTGACACTGGTAGAGCTGCGGCCCCTCGACAGTGGAGAAAAAACCGTCGCATCGACGACTTCTCTGAGGTCGGGCATGTCCCCCTACAGGCGGATTTTGGACGACTGATAAACAAGATCCAAAACATGTTCAAACAGATATGCAACAAAAAGAGAAATCGTCCCCATACTATTCTTTGCCTATTTTGGAATGTTCCTCCTGTAGAGGGGCAGGCCTGACTTACGACTTCTCGAGGGGGGTGCCCAGGCCGAAGTGCCCCACACGGGGGACAGCTCCCCCGGCCGCGGCTGCCATGTCTCGCTCCGCTCTCCTCCTCCTCGTCCTCCTCCCCCTCCCCCTCCCCCTCCCCCTCCTCCTCCTCCTCCTTCTCCTCCTCCTTCTCCTTCTCCTCCACAATTACTCAATATGAATATACTCTCCCTCTTCCCCTGATGGCGTCCGGGTGATAGCCGCGCACCCTCCGCGTACTGTTATTTAACACACAGGATGCCCGGGAAATCCCGGGAAACGACTCTCGCCGAGGCGCCGGCGTCATTTGTTCCCAAAATGCTGCTCTCGCGCCGGCGTCATTTTTTCCCAAAATGCTGCTCTCGTTGAGGCGCCGGCCTCATTTCTGCTCCCGAATCATTCCCCTGATGGCGTCGGGGTGATAGCCGCGCACCCTCCGCGTACTGTTTTTTTACACACAGGATGCCTGGGAAATCCCGGGAAACGACTTTCGCTGAGGCGCCGGCGTCATTTTTTCCCAAAATGCTGCTCTCGTTGAGGCGCCGGCCTCATTTCTGCTCCCGAATCGTTCCGAATCGTGCTCCCGCTGCAGCGTGGGCCTCATTTTCGGATCGGTGCTTGGCCTCCGTCGTTCAGGATGGCGTTCTCGCCCCAGCGCGGGCCTTTTTCTCGCGCGCCCATCCGCCCGCCACCACCGCGCCGCACCGCCACCACCACCACCACCACCACCACCACCACCACCACCACCACCACCACCACCACCACCACCACCAGCACCAGCACCAGCCACCACCCACCAGCACCACCACCACCACCACCAGCACCACCACCACCACCAGCACCACCACCACCACCACCACCACCACACCACCACCACCACCACCACCACAACCACGCACACTCGCACGCACGCACGCACGCGCACCACCACCCACTACGCACGCGCGCGCGGAGCCACAGGTCCGCTACGACACGCGTCCGCGGATAGAGAAAATCAGCGCCATGGTAAGGGATGGGAGGGAGGGGTAGGACGTCAGATATGACGCGAGCGCACCTAGCTTGTCCCCCTCCCCCTCCTCCCTCCTCCTCCTCCTCCTCCTCCCCTCCTCCTCCTCCTCCTTCTCCCCTCCTCCTCCTCTCTCCTCCCCTCCTCCTCCTACTCTCCTCGTCCTCCTCCTCCTCCTCCCCTCCTCCTCCTCCTCCTCCTCCTCCCCCTCCCCCCTCACATCCTCCTCCTCCTCCACCTCCTCCTCCTCTCATCATCATCCTCCCCCCCTCCTCCTCCTCCTCCTCCTCCTCCTCCTCCTCCTCCTCCTCCTCCTCCTCCTCACTCTCTGGGGAAGGACGAGCACAGACATGCGATACCTTGAACTTTTCCATGCGGGGCCCCTGGAAGCCCTCACCCTTTTCCCGAGGCCGCTTTCTCATCCCGAATCGTTTGATGTTGTTGCCGGTCCCGAGACCCGGCGAGAGCCCCCCCGGAGGCAGGAAACGGTGAAAACCCTCCCGCCGCGTTATTTGTCATTACGCGAGCACGTCTGAAAGGGGGCCACATGCGAACCCTACCCCATACCCCGCACGATTTCTGAGGGGGAAGGTGGGGTTCACTTCGTTCGGGAGCTCCCGAGCGAAGTGAACCCCACCCTCCCCTCAGAAATCGGGGGGGATAGGGGGTGGGGTTCGCATGTGGGCCCCCTATGTGAGAGAGGAAAGAGGGGGATGGGGGAGCGAGGAGCACGATATACTCTTAGGTTGGGCATGTCCCCCTAGAGGCGGCTTTGGGCGAGAGAACAAGAATAGCCAACAAAAATGCCAGACAAACAGCCAAACATGATCGAAAGATCGTCCCCCCTATCGTGTTTGAGCTATTCTTGAACTCTCTTCCTGTAGAGGGACAGGCCCGATTCTTAGACGTGCTCCCCCACCCCCGACGCCACGAGCCTCCGCGGCACAGGGCCCCCGGGGAGCCCGCGCTCCCGTTCCCGCGGGCAGGCCTCTCGTAGCGGGCCCCCTTTCGTGGTCGCAGCACCAAGCCGTAACAGATCTACCTGGTGCAGATGCTAGGGGGCCACGTGCGAACCCTACCCCCACCCCCCCACGATTTTTGAGGGGAGGGTTCGCATGTGGCCCCCTAGATGCACCGATCTCGGCGCCCTCGAGGGTACAGACGTGCTCTCACGATGCGTATCTTCAATCCTCGCTGCGTGGGGGCCCTGCAGCTGCTCCTACATCTCTAAACCACATGGAGAGACCATCCGCGGGTGTCCTGGGGGCTGGACGCGGGCACCCTGGGCCGACATTGCAGAAGCAGCGCCCGCCGCAGAAACCCTTCGCGACGCCTGGAGGGATGAAGCACCCCGGTCTCAGCACGCATATCTTAAGACGCAAGTCTGGCGCGACACACACACACACACAGTCACACACACACACATATCCAGCAAGACGTAGGCCAGCACGCGTTAGACCAACACGCAGCGTTGATACGTGTTGCGTTTCAGCATGAGCGTGTCCGGGGGCAACTAAGAAGATGACGTTTCCTGGGCCCCATATGGTGCGAACGCACCCGCCACATCTCGCACGCCCCAGCGACTACTGTAGCACTCGCTGTGGGAAGGCTCTGCTGATCGGCTTCCACGCAGCATCAGGTCGCTGTCCTGCCCGGGCAGATGGCACACCTGTACAAATCCACGCTGGGCCCGGGGTCGGTGAATGCCTCCGCCTGGTCTGGCCATGAGGGCATGTACACCGATCCGGAGTCCAGTGCTGACAGGGCCAGGGATCGGTACAGTTGCATCCCTGGCACCTCCCGAAAACAGATCCTGCCCCCTGCTCTACCCTCCTCTTGCTGTCCCTCTCTCGGTCTCTCTGTTTC